AGCATATGTGTTATTCTGATGCATAACCTATATTACTATAAAGTTTCAAAATCAGTTCAGTAGTTATTGCTTCAAAGAGTAACACAAATTCATACTTACAAACTTTCTTGTTTATAATATTATTAAGATTAAGATATGCAGTTTCAAATTCAAATTCAAATTTAAAATATCTTTATTCCTGTAGGTCTATTACAGACTCTTATGATATGTCAAATCTACCGTCAGTTCGGAATGATATCGAGATGAGAAGAACTGACAAGAAACTCAGCTCGTATTTTTTTCAAATAATAGTGGAACATGTTTATAATAAATATGGTTTTTAAAATTCAAATTTGGGAGAATAGAGTGACCACCAGCATATGCTATCGCAAAGAACAAAAAATTTAATCAGTGTTCACAACCTGAACAGACCAGTCCCCACAAGTAGACCCGTTCACGAGTATGACGTATGAGCCAGCCATCATTGTACTCAACCATATTTGAGGGAGCACATCGACCCGGCATTAGTACATAATAACTAATGCCTACATTGCTTGTTGTACATAATATGTACAACAAGCAGTACACAATGTAGGCATAGTTAGTCTTCAAAGGTAATATATATATATATTAAATATAAGATATATATAAAATCAGAATATACAGTGAATTTTTATACCTATTTTTACGTAATCTGTTTTGACATATAAAATCAATCCAATACTCAGGTTATTTTATCAGAAACTAAATAAAAATACGGCGCCTAACGTATTGTACTATACTATCAGACACAGTGTATCGTATGATAACGTTATCGTATTTAAGTAGGTACTTTTAAAAAATATAGTTATTAAAAAAAACGGGGGGGGGGGGGGTCGTCAATGCACCTGCAATTAATAAAGGTAGATACAATATACTTTATTTGTAACTAGCTACTCACCCAGGCTGCACCCGGGATATACACCCGGGTGCAGCCTGGGTGGTATTATATATATAAAACTTCCTCTAGAATCAATATCAATAAATAAAACCGCTTCAAAATCCGTTGCGTAGTTTTAAAGATTTAAGCATACCTAAGGACGGACAGACAGCGACAGCGACTATGTTTTATACTATGTAATGACTTAGAGTAAAGAAAAAACATTAACAATATATTAAAAAGCACATGTATAGTTACAATAAGGCTGCTCAATAAAGCTTGCCATTCACGATCAAAACGGACGTTGTGTAAGGTTTTTTTGACAACTGAATGACTTATGCTTAGTTTAATAACTAAGCATATGTCATTCAGTTACTACTATATAGTATATACTAATAGTATATAGTCGGTTACTACTATATATTAATAGTATATAGTAGTAATCGACACTCGTTTGCTAATAAGCTTGGGAGTTTTGTATACATTATAATAATGCGTTGTTATGAAATCCTGGAGTAATTTAACTTTCAGACAGTGAAATTATTTCTCAAATCTAATTGTAATCTAAAGGACAAATAATGAGTAGTTAGTACATATAAAATAGTACAAAAATAGAAATATAATCTTAATCTTAATATCTTAATACTAATCCTTAATCATTACATAGTATAAAACTAAATCGCGGTCGCTGTTTGTCCGTCCCTATGTATGCTTAAATCTTTAAAACTACGCAACGGATTTTGAAGCGGTTTTTTAATAGATAGAATGATTCAAGAGGAAGGTTTATATGTATAATACATATTATAAATGTGAAAGTAGGGATGTTTGTTTCTCTTTCACGCAGAAAAACTACTGAACGGATTTTGATAAAACTTTACAGTAATATAGCTTATGAATAACACATAGGCTATATTTTATATGCAAATTTAACGCGGATGAAACCGCGGGCTTAGGTAGTAGGTACAATATAAAAATATAAACATAAGGAAGAAAAGTAATCGAAATACCGGAATGAATGAGCACATTGAATACTGGAGTGAGGTGACCACTCCGACGGCACATCACAGGAGCAAATCGTTGAAGTGCTGCACACACTCCAGCATCCAAGACCGTAACCAGTTTCCAGCTACTGTACATAAAATACGATGTTACAAAACTGAACAAATAGTGATACTAATTCTTACTTATATTAATATTATAAGTGCGAAATAACTAGCTCTATCTGTCTGCGTTTTGACGTCAAAATTACTGAACCGATTTAAATAGAATTTCGTACACAAATAGTCTAGACTCTGAGGAAGGACAGACTTTTTAATGCGATAAACCAGGTGAAAGGGCTTGAAAGGGGAGATGAAAGGTTGTACGGAAGTATCGTTATTTATAAAGCTAGTAGCTTGAAACTTATTTTTTAACTTTCGATTAAATATAAAAAATTAGACAATCGAAGTTTAAAAAAAAATAGGGGATAAATGTTTGTATGGAAATTCGTCAGTCGTCTCACTTAATCGCATTCCACAATGCTACTCTGTATCATAACGCAATGGACTATTGTAATATTATTTGTCTCTACTATCCTGTTTCGATGCAAATAATATATATATATAACAATATATTTACCACGCACAACCACATTGTGGAATCACCTTCCAACAATGGTATTTCCGAACCGATACGATATTGAAACCTTCAAAAAGAGAGCTTCTTCCTTTTTAAAAGGCCGACAACGTACTTGCAATTCTCCTGGTGTTGCGGGTGCTCATGGGCGACGGTAATCACTTGCCATCAGGTGAGCCGCATGCTCGTTTGTATATATATATATATAACAAAGTGCAATTTTATCCTCTAATTACGTTGATAAGCGCTGGCATTTCCCATTATTGATTATTGATTCACATTATAGTCGTCCATGTCATACGATTATTATGTAGAAAAACGTTATTTATTTGCCTATAATAGTTTTCATGATAAAGTGTTATCTACACTATACCATTGTTGGTTTTTTTTGTATCGTCACGTGCCGTTCAAGTCACGCGTTCGGTTCACGGAGCGACCTAATTTTTCATTTTCAATTTAGAATATTTTAGGCCGCCATTTTCTAAATTACCACCTGCTTTTGTGTGTATACGGGTAGCTTATAGTTTGTCACTTAGTACGATAATCATTGTATTCAGTGGTTTTTTCAGTTAATTACTTTAGGGGTTCATATTGGACTGGTTCATATGCCCATTTAAACAAACGAACAAATCTAATATATAAAAATCTAGTATCAGTGTTTCTTATCGAACTTCTTGTTGCTTGTTTGACTGATATTTATATATATTTTTTGTGTATATTTGAAGAAATATAAATGTTCCGGTTCACAGAGCGACCTAATTTTTCATTTTCAAATTTAGAAAATTTCAAGCCGCCATTTTCTAAATTACCACCCGCTTTTGTATACGTAGGTAATAGTTTGTCACTTAGTACAGTAATCATTGTATTCAGTGGTTTTTCAGTTAATTATTTTAGGGGTTCATATGCACATTTAAACCAACGAACGAATCGAATATATAAAAATCTCGTATCACAGTTTGTTATTAAACGCTTTCGAAATACTTGACCAATATATTTTTTCATGTATACTTGAATATAAATTTTTATTTTATTTTTTGTTGGTGTTATTTGAACCTACGACTTTTTTAATGTAAGCCAGAATAGTTTGTTTTCAACTTTCGTGTTTAATACACATTATTTAATCTGTTAACCGGGTGTTAACACGAATAATTGTATAGTAAATAAAGGTATTTACCTCTCTTGACGTTTCGTCTAGGTTGCACCACCAGGTAGATCGTGGCTACGGCTAGTGTCGTGACAGAGGTAATATTTATTTATCATATAATTATTTGTGTTAAGACTCGGTTAACAATGTAAGAAAGTTAGAATAATAAACCACTACACCACGAAGCTCTAAAATTCATTTATTTTAATAATTTATATGTATTGTACAAGCTGACGCATGGATCTCAATTTCGTCTGCATCACACTTACTTAACAATTATCGTTATATTTCGCCCAATTAACTTAATATCTTTTTAAATTATAGCCTATATGTTATTCTGATATATAAGCTATATTACTGTAAAGTTTCATCAAAATCCGTTCAGTAGCTTTTGCGTGAAAAAGTAACAAACATCCATACTCACAAACTTTCGCGTTTATAAAATTAAGTACTGGTAGGATATGATTACAATATAGTCGTTATATTGTGAACCTCGTGCTTTTTATACTTATTTCATCACATGACAACTAGGTAGCCTCTAGCGTAAAGAGAATACCAAAATTACATAATTTTCAGTTGTTTGATTACAGTATTCAATCGATAAAAGCTGAATATCTTATCAAGCATCAACACTGTGCCCAATACAATACTTAGTGTACTTCGACCCAACGAGTACTATTTTTGTGGATAATTCAACATAAACAAGGTTCTTGTCTATAGATATAATAATATTTATCTGAAGTAGGTATTACCTACGGTACCTACCTAACATAAGGCGCCTTAAATTACGTCATACCTACTTTAAGAGGGGCGACAGTGTGACTTGTGAGATGGGTATAAATTTCGTGACGTCATATTTCAAATCTATTAGATTTAAGGAATGAAATACGATATTTGAACTATTAAGGAATAACTTTAATAAAATCACAAACAGGTGTGAGTAAATATAATTTAATCTTGATTTTATCACAGTCGCATGTAAGACATAACTGTTACTTAACAACAAGAACACTAATTGTAAATTTATGTCTAATATATAGTATAATATATAGTTGGCCCTTAAAGAGCAAATTTGATTTTCTTTTGCAATACATGAAATCTAAAAATCTTTTACATCAATTAAAAGAAAAACTTTCAATGGAACGAGTAACATGCCTATATGATTTTCTAAACAATAAAATATTTCATGATGATTATTTTCTAAATAATAATTTACGGTCACAACAATAATTCTATTACAATTAATAATTTGACTCTCTTTCACATTCCGTCTCATTCAGACCATTCACCCTTCAATACTTCATACTTTCATCCATCTTACATCTATTTAATATTCTGTTCCAGATAACATGTCTCGCCAAACAGTTGGACATGTCGGAACGGCAAGTGGAGCGGTGGTGGCGCCTCCGTCGCAGTCAGGACAAGCCATCCACCCTGGTGAAGTTCTGCGAGAACGCGTGGAGGTGTACATTCTACCTGTTCAACTTCTCTTACGGTCTCTTCATACTCTGGGACAAGGACTGGCTGTGGAACATCGATTATTGCTATATAGGATACCCTCATCAGGTTAGTATAAAAAATACTGTAATGAGCAAATATTATAAGGGTGGTGCTTGATAGGCAAATGATAGACACGACATTTGAGTGTATACTGAATCGTTTATTATTATAATCAATGCGTATATACTACTTACTTACTAAGTACATTCATCCTTACATCTCTCCGGTAAGAATTAACATTACGATGCCCATTATGTGACTATTTTAGCTCCTATTGTAAACACTCAAGTTGTTAAAAACAAAACCAAGATTTTGCAGGTTAAAAAATGAGATACAGCAAATAAATTACAAGGTTTTTTATGAATGATAATGGATTGGTGCACTCGCCAGTGCTAATGGTATGGGGCACCAATGGACAATAAGATGAACATGAGGTCAGGTCAGTTAGACCATCGTGACAAATTCATCAGGAATTTATCATGATTGTTTCCAGTATGACCGTGTGGAAGTCAATCTAACGTAGTATATTATATATTGTAGTTAGTATAACATAGATTAGTAGATTCAGATTCTGCATAAAAAAATACATAGAACCCAAAATTGTCACCCTTCTACCATCAACCCCCATTTTTTAATAGCGACATTAATTATATGGCAAAAATTTGCTGGGACTGTACTTGGTTGGCGCTGTTTTAGGGTCGCTACACTGCCCTAGTGATGATGGTAGAATAGCGCTTAAAACTTATTGATGTTACTAAATATGTTTACATATTAGGCAACTATAACTTAACGATCCAGGCGTCGTCTCTCAGCGCACAATAAAGATAAAACGTTCATATAATTTGTATGATAGGTACATTCCATTCAATCACAGTTGTGGATGTCAAAATGTTTACAAGCGACCTTCAATGAAATTGTTGCTGTACTTAACGAAAATGGGTCGACTGTAATGTTTAATTGTCGTACATAGAGTTTTTTTATGTAGCTTGAATGCCAAACAAGCCGGTGTCTCATGAGGCCAGGCCAAAGAAGACATTAGTTTAGTCGACGGTTATCACTTACCATCAGTCGTCACTTGTACCATCAGCTGATGATATTAACAAATGCTGATGGTATTAAACAAAACTGCCATCAGTAGATGAAAAGAGTAAGTGACGACTGATGGTAAGTGGTAACCGTCGCCTAAACTCATGTCTTCTTTGGCCTGGGCTTCTAGGGGCTGGTCTGCTCTAATAACTGTGACTGATTTATTTTGTTACTCAAGTAACTATTCGTTTATTTATCAGCTTTGCTATTTGGCAGTTTGTATTCAAACAAAATTATTTAAAGGAATATTTTCTGAGCAACATATACATATTTCAAAGAACAAAACGCAAGTTTCTTGCTCGTTCCTCTTGTGATGAGACAGCTTTCGAAGGTGCGGTAGAATAAAAAAAATAGGTATGACTATTAAATAATTTTCTTTTCTATTCTATTCTTGATAGTTGTCCGATTTAAGTTTATTTGAATAAAAAATTTTTTATTCTATTCTATTCCTGATATTTGTCCGACTTTATAGAACTGGCTATTGTCTCGTAATGGAGTGCAAGACTTAGTTTATTTAAACAAGGATTACTTATATTGCCTTGTGGTTTTGCTATATGATACCGGATTAGGTTTCTGATACAGACGTGTGGCTTTACAATGATGTGGATTATGTGTACATGTTTTGTATCTTACGTATTAAGGTCATTCCGCCTTGAGCCTTGGCGTATGGAGACTTGTAAGTTAGGTTAAAAACATATATTCTTTATTGGACTTTAAATACATTATTTAGGTATGTTCAATTAGAAATGATGTTTACAAAGGAAGATTTATCTTTAAAAGATATCTCATATAGTTTTGTTATACTACGTAGGTATCATATTTTTTTTTATGGTTGATAATGGAATAGTGCACCCGCGCTAACGGTTTACGCTGGCGGGAAACCAGTGGAGGATGATAAGATGAGCATGAGGTCTGGTCAGTTCACCCATCGTGGCAAATTCAACAGAAATTTAACACGATGGTTTCCAGGGGGTACCGCGTGGAGGTCAAACTGATGGTATATTGCTAGCAGTGGGGTTATTAATCCACATTACTAACAACCCCTTCCTTATTAGTGCAAGCATACGACCCGTCTAATAGTAAACGGTTACCGTAGCCAGTCAACCAGTTGAGTGGGTTAAAATGTGCACAAAATTATTAATTTAAAAAAATAATGAATGTGAACGCGAATAATTTGTATATGACTCATATGGTTTAAAAAAATGTTGATTACTCAAAGAATCATTGAAAAGGTTCAGTTTTGAGGAATATAACTAGTATTGCATAACACAAAAAATGGGAGTTATTATGGATTGCTTGTAACAAAACTTCCTAAACGGCTTAACAGATTCGTATGAAATTTTGTTTGTATATTCAGTAGGTCTGAGAATAGAACATAAACTATTTTTCATTTCCCTAAATAACAAGCATGGTAGTGAACCATTAAATAATTATGATTAATTCATATGGCAAAACGTTTGTTGGGTCATTTAGTCATAAATAAGCATTTCCTCAGGGTATAACGGAAATATATGTATATTGTATAAATTTCAGGGTATAACAGGCGACGTGTGGTGGTACTACATGATATCATCAGCATTCTACTGGGCTCTAACCATGTCCCAGTTCTGGGATGTGCGCCGTAAGGACTTCTGGCAGATGTTCGTCCACCATTTCGCCACAATCGCATTACTCTCCTTCAGCTGGGTGTGCAATCTGCACAGGATTGGGACGCTGGTGCTGTTGAGTCATGACTGTGCAGATATAGCATTGGAGGTGAGTTTAAGACAATATGTTTTAAACAATCAATGTTATTATTTATATTATTTTATTTAATTCCGCTACGATTAGTATCCGTGCACAAATATTCAGTCCGAAAAACTTGGTCAGGTTTCCGTTTTGGAAGCGTATGAGTTCTTGACAAAATGTTTTAAACAATTAATTACTAATTAATTAATAATATTTTATTTTATTTCTCTACCAGCAGTATCTGTGAGTACAAGTAACTTAATAACGGATATTTTTGTGTCGGGAGACCATAATGTTTTTAATTCTATTTTTTTATAATAATAATAATGTATTTATTATCAGGCTTAATTGCCCACTTTGTTAGTATTACAGATTTCTTATAATTAATGTTAGTACGTACAGACTACAGACACAAAATACACACACAAAAATAATAATAATACAAATAATATCAAAAATTAATATTAAATTAAGTTAAAATATAAATTAAAATACATTCACATATAAATATAAAAATCAGTATAAAAATCACCGCTGTACCATTCCATTAGAAATAGTACAGCAGTGATTAACATACGCACAGTCCAGCCTGCCCGCAATCATGCTCAGGATGCTGTTGGTACTGGCACGTACCCTCCGCACCAGGGATGCGCATCTTTTCATTATTCTTATTATAGTTATAGTTTTTTTTATTAATCTTCACATATTTCTAGCGGTTTTATTATTGTTAATAATAAATATATCTTAATCATTCTGTATATCTTTTCATTTCAGGCTGCTAAAGCTGCGAAGTATGCTAACTATCAGAAGCTGTGTGACGCCATATTTACGGTCTTCATAGTATTATGGCTCATAACACGCCTGGGGGTGTATCCGTTTTATATAATTTGGAGGTGAGTTTTCTAATTTTAATATTATTATATATAATATACACCTAATCATATTAATAATAACAATAGTTAACCAGAACAATTCACACAGCGCCATCTAGGCGCAAGTTAAACAGAAGTGGTATTGTGGGTAAGTACTTGATCAAACAATCATACTCATGAATACAAATGCTTGTACCGTGCGAGGAATTGAACCCACGACCATCGATAGCAAGGCGGTGTGCTAAACCGCTAGACCACCAAGGCCGTCGAATAAAGTTAATTATTAGATATGAAGTAATAATATAAGTATATTCTCTACAACGTCAATAATTTCCATGCTAAATTAATACAACACATCTTTAACCTATAAAAAAGGTAATATATTGTAGATAAATATTTTATTATTTATATTGTATAATATAACTATATTAATATAAAGTTGTACTGTATATCTACGTTACTTCTCTGCAATTAGAGGTGTTACTGATCAGACGTGTTTTGTTACCAACCGTGTGTCAAGTGTTCTTTTTTAATTTTTCAGTACAACGGTCCGCGCTCCAATGCTTCTGCCAATGAGTCCAACATATTATATATTTAATTCGTTACTGTGTCTGCTGTTGGTCCTGCATTTGATATGGACGTGGCTTATACTACAAGTCGCCTATAGGGCGATCTATGCTGGACAGGTACAATATTATCATTTATAATTAATATCAATTAGATTATAATCATCAGCCGATTGCAGTCCACTGCTGGACATAGGCCTCTCCTAAGGCATTCCACTGGGCACGATCTTTACCCATCTCGTCCAGTTATTACCCGCAAAGTTATTTGAATAAAACGTAGTAAATAATAAAACGGTAATGGAAAATCCGGTAACAAACCGTTTCCGGATTTTCTATTACCGGAGCGGTCAGAAATGTAAAACGGCCAAAATGATTTTGTATCGGCAAGATATGAACTTACGACCTTTTGGTCTAGTAAACCACTAGGCCATGGCCATAATAATAATCGTTCTAAAATTATAAATGTGAAAGTTTGTATGTTTGTTACTCAATCACACTTAAATGGCTAAATGCACTGAAATGTAATTTTATAGACGAATAGATCATATCCTGGGCAGAGGAAGACCGAAAAAGAGATGGATGGACTGTGTGAAAGATGATATAGTAAGAAAGGGAGTAAATAATGAGATGACTGCGAACAGAGATGAATGGGAGAGAAAAAAGTATTGTGCGGACCCAAAAAAATGGGATAAGGAAGAAGCAGATGATGTCGAATAGATCATATCATAGATTAATATTTAGGTGCTGTTGGAAATACTTCTTTCTTTGTTACGCTTTTACATTTTCTAATTCGGAGGGCTAATGTGTTATGACTCCGTAACTGTAATTTCATTATCATATCTCAATGACACTGCTACAATAAAGCTGCTTTGCTGCTGACTAAAATTAGTGATTCAGTAGCCCCGCAGACGAACAAAGTCAACCTCTGGAAAAGATTTGGAGAGTGCTAATATTTAAAATTATACTAGCTACTCGCCCCTGCTTCGCACAGGTGTACATGTATAATATAATAAACCTTCCTCTTGAATCACTCTTCTTATTAAAAAAAAACCGCTTAAAAACTCTGTTGCGTAGTTTTAAAGTTTTTCATGTATTGGGACGGACAGACAGCGACAGCGGCTTTGTTTTATACTATGTAATGATGGACCATAAAGTTTCTCGAAGGAAGAAATAATTAAAACAAACATTATCTCTACAGTCAGGCATATAATTATAAATCCTTTCTGTTCATAAATGTGAGGAAATAAGTATCTAATTGGATGTTACTACCAGTGAAATGACCTAAAACACAGGTAGGGTCGCATTCTAGTGTGTTAATAAATTCTTGTTTACAGATGGAAGGCGACATCAGGAGCTCCAGCTCCGATATTAGTGATAGTTCCCATTCCAACCACAGTACACCCAACCGCATCAATAATAAAAAGTAAGTACACCAAGAAATTATTCAATTCAATTTATTTACTGGAATAAATGTAGATATTGGTCTTAAAGATAGAAATCTAAAAAGTATACCAAGGCAATATTCAATTCAAGTCAATTCGTTTATTAGAACATGTATACCAAGAAGAACATGTAGGACCGATATCCACTGGTCTTAAAGATCAAAATCTAATTCAAAACAACCTGAAAATGTAAGTCGAAATTACTCATTGAAGGCTTAAGTAGCCGTTTGCCTATTATTAAAGTTAATTGTCATTGTCCTCTGCTAATCAGCCATTAGCTGTCTCTAAGTAGGATATTTTTTAAATCTACACTATGGTCTTAGGTCTTAATAAAACAATATTAATTTTGTAATAATATGGTTATGTTATTACAAAATTAATATTGTTTTATTTATTTTTTTAATTACATTATTAGCATGACAATTACAGTATGAGTCTAAATGAAATTTGAATAATAATAAAAATTTGTAACTCAAAATTGTCATTGAGGAATAGAAATTTATATTTATTATTATATTTATTTGAATATAAATTTTAAAGAAAGTAATATAAATAAGGGAATTAAGAAAATAATATGTGAAGTAGCGCCATCTAGTCTGAAATGAAGTAAACTTTTATAGTAAATACTAAGGACGGTTTTATTTCAATTAATATAGTTAGAAGTTGTCTATAAAATGTACATAGAGAGAAAAATAATTCACAACGAGTTAACATAATGAAGGAGTTCACAACCGAGTATTATGATTTATCCCTAATTTTATGAAATTTGAAAAGTCTTCTATCATCTTAGCAGTTATTCTCAGTTCGAAACTATTTTTCAAAATTAAGGATCAACGAACAATGAAGAAGCAATGATGACATTTGTTCCCCCCTGTAAAAAGGGGAACAATGTCTTTAAGTTAATTATTGGTGAATTCACCATGATATGTTAGTTAGCATGACTTAATTCTCGTCTTATGCTGAATTGCAGCAGTGAAAGATGTTCACTGCTGCAATTCAGCATACCATCCCATATTTAAAAAAAAACTGTCGCTTAACGACTACACTTTGTTTTATCATAAGTGTCTGTGATACATAGATCTTATAAGAATATACCTAGAATTTTTTTATTATATTTTAACAATTACAAAATATTTCTTATTTTTTTCAGGGACACATAGGGTCGGGCCTACGAAGCAGGGCCAAGGATCGTCTCGAGGCCTCGCACAAGTTCCATAGCTTACACGCTCGCTTGAAGGCACCGCGTCCACACGGCCCAAGGTTCGAACTCTGTGAAGTGACAGTGATTTTAGTGGCAAACTGTTTTGAGTTAGAAAATGTGTTCATTGTTATACCAAGTACAGTGTTGTGACTAGAACAGCGTCGAGTTCGTCTTCTGAATCGTATGTATGATTATTTATTGAGCTATGTCTATCATTGTATGAGAGGCTTGAAGAAATTGCAACTAGAATGATTTTGGGTCTTAAGCATATTGGAATTTAGTCTATTTTTTAATCAACATAAACCTCATTATTTTAATGCAGGTGTCAGCAATCTTTTTAGTCGGATGAGACAAAAATTGCAGTATACTAAATCTCCCAGTTTTTTAAATTATTTATGATATTTTAAATTATTGATTATATAATAATAATGTTATTTTTTAAATATTTTGCATATGAGCTACATAAGTTGCAATATTACATAAAAAGAGCTGATAACTTTGCCGACACCTGATTATATATGAGCCTCGACATACTCACCATTCACATAATATAATATATAATCATCGATATAGTTATAAAGAACCATCACTTAATTATGATAATAATTAAGGGTTGCGCAAACGAGAGGTTTCACTGGTTGTAGATTATCGTAAGATATAATACAGACATGCTTCAACAACTTATATTTGTATAGGGTTGTCACAAATGTGAGTTTCGTAGTCTATGGACAATGTCTTCGTGTGGTGGTGTAATGTGTTTTTGTTTATCACTTTTTTATTATAACTTGAATTACGTGATTGGCAAGTTTATTAGAAATAAGACTAAAAAGGCGGGCACTGCACTCGTGTTTGTGCGTATAGGGTTGTCACAAAAGGGACTTTAACAGTCTAAGGAGAAAGTCTGCGTCTGCGCATTTCTTTTAGTTTCTTATTATTATACTATAAATTTAATAAAGTGATACATGCTTGTGTGTGGCATTTATCAGAAATATATTAAGAGTCGGGCTTGAGTAGCAATTTAATTAAGAGATTCTATTAAAAAGTTATTTATTTTCTATGTTTAGTTGTTTAAAAAATATAACGCAGGCCTAATACTAAACTGCATTAACTCAAAAAATGCAAACTTTGGAAAATATACTTTAAATTTGAACTTTTAAAGTTGATTTTCCAGAATTTTAGATTTTATCTTAATGCAGTTTTAATATTAAGTTAGCTATATTGTCGGTTACAAGACAATTTGTTAATTAAAAGAAATAACTTATATTCTACGATTACAATATCATTTAGTTATACATTCACGGAATGGTTTAGAAATAATAATGTAAAAACTATTCTCAAATTATTGAAAATGAACAGTACCAAAGGCGATTAAATATCGCATTAAATTAATATCTACAAGGTATTTTGGCGATCTTAAATTAACTTAAAATGAGTATACAGGCTTTGATAGTTGCTAAAAGGGACATCAAACAGCAAAATATACCTACTTATTTTTGATTGACAGCTGCCACCCAAAGAATTTTGTGCTTATTATAAATATGTAAGTTCACTTTAAAAGAGGCCTATTAAATAATACTTTCTCACCCTCCTAGATATAATTAAATATTTATTTACATTTAATTTATTATTATTAATAAAATAGGAACAATGAAAACTGATTCCTGCATATATAAATTGTTTTACAAAAATGATTTCGCGGCGTTATCTTATGAAATTATATATATATATATATATATAGATAATATAAAGCAAATATACTTATTATATTCCAAATAATATGTTAGTTATTTTTGTTAAAGTTACAATTTATGTGGTTCCACATAATATTAGCAACAAAAAAAAAGTTATAATTAAAAAAATATATAAGTGCATTTGTTGATAATTTTGAAAGCATATAACTATTGTTAACTAACTACTATAATTTATGCATAAATGTTTATATTATTTATTAAATTAATGTCTCGAAATGGCAACTCTATAAGTACAATATTTTATCCGGGACCACATTTTGGGAGCATTCTTTTTAATCTAAGTATTGGCATTACCAAAAAGTTATTTTGTTTCTATAGTATATGACACGTTGTGTTTTTTGTTTATAATTTAAATTTAGAATTACCGGTGATGATTTTGTTCGTAAATTATATTTTCATCACTATTTAATTTTAAGTACAGCCAGTAACAAAATGTGCACAAACAATATGTTTATTGTTTATGATTAATATAAAATACATTTTATTGGTATTGTTGTACTTTATTATAAATGTAGATGTCTATGGTTATATTTGTTTAGCCTTAGACAGTAATATAAAATATATAAAAAATGAATAATTTTCTTCAAGTTGAAGTATATTATGTTGAATTTGAGAGTTTATCACTTTGCTTCGCTATATGAGTATTTTTTGTTATTGTTTGTTTTAAAAGTATTTTTTAGATCCTTTAAGACACCCGTCCATTGGTACTTGATGTAAAGACTCCATTTATAGTTTTTTTTATATTACTTATTCAGTCACAATATTCATAATATTAAAATCGATGTTTTCTTAATATCGATTATACTTATTAACTAAGTATAATCGATAATGTTAGTGATTATCACTAATATTAGTGTTGTACTGTATATATATTTCATTCATAATAAACTAACTTCGTTTTTTAACATTTTTTTTGGAAAACATATATTTACCATTAAAATATCTTTTACTTAAATGCTTTCCATAGGTACAGTAAATAAATAGTATTGTGAAAACCAGAAATGACTAAACTAAAATTATTGAGTACATCTAAATAGTATTGAATTTCTATTCTCGTCAATCTTTTATACAGAATCTGTGGCAATCATGAATGTAGGTGGGGAAGTAAACAGAGGATTGGGTTACTGTATCTTATGGGAAAGATATATTTATGCTGATGCTGAATAATAAGTGGCATTACAAAAAAAAAAATTGGAATTCGTCTAGGAGTTAATATTTAAGTTTGATATTTTTTTTAGTTATTGCATTCGTTAAGCGTGCGGTGTGTAAAAACCGTGATACAAATAACCATTCCGCCTTAAGTTTTCAACCAACTTCAAAAACAAGTTTTTTTCCTGCCCTGTTTTCGGTTTTGCACTAGTAGTAACAGAAAAAATCTTTTTCATTTATGACATTAGTAGGTATGACTAATGATATAGGACTAGTGGGTTTCAAACATTATTGTTAAAAGTAAATGGGTTAATAAAATAAATTTTATACTTTAAATTCTATTTTAAATTACAAGATAATTTTTAAATTCATTATTAAAATACGCTATATGTGTGAGAATTAGTGATTTCTTATAATATTTCAACATGACATTTTAATTTTATTGTGTTTAATAAAAAAATAGTCACCTACTGAAATTAAATATGTCATAAGTATAGACATCATCGCTATTGGGTAAATTCATATATGAACTGCTATGATTTGCATTTTTTGCTAAGTTAATTTTTTTCCAAAGTCGCAATTTTTTTTTACATAAATAGATATTTGTTTATATAATGACTTAGAGAAATCATGCTAATTAACATTTAGGTTGGGATTTTTTAACTCTAGAGTAAGTCATTACTTATATAAAGTAGCAATGAAACTAACTTTAAAATAAAGAAAAAGGCCAAAATTAAAGAGTAAATTATTTCTGTAATAACAACATCATAAAATAATTATATACCTGCATTCCACGGTTACACTGTTTTATTATATTTTTCTTTGTTTTATTTTAGAAACTTTTTTTTTTAAAGTGTATATAATTATTTCTTTTTTTCTTATAA